TTAGGATTTAGGGTTTAGGGTTTAGGGTTTAGGGTTTAGGGTTTAGGATTCAGGGAGTTTAGGGTTCAGGGTTTAGGGTTTAGGGTTTAGGGTTTAGGGTTCAGGGTTCAGGGTTCAGGGTTCAGGGGTTCAGGGTTTAGCGTTCAGGGTTTAGCATTCAGTTGCTTTGGGGAGTTCACAGGGTTTGGGTTTTGGTGTTAAGTTGTTAAGTAGGGAACTGAGGGTTGGGAGTGTATGACATTCCCCTAAGCCTTAGACCCTAAACCCTAATCCCTAAACGCTTCATCCAAAACCCGAAGCCCTAAACCCTAAACCTCAAACACAAGATTCCAGGCACGCTTTGCATGCGCTGCGCCGCGGCGGTCGCGCGGGGCAGGGCCCACCAGGGCCCTCTCACCGGTGTGTCTGGGCCGAGACTCTGGAGGTTTAGGGTTTAGGGTTTAGGGTTTAGGGTTTAGGGTTTAGGGTTTAGGGTTTAGGGTTTAGGGTTATTTAGGGCTTAGGGTTTTGGGTTTAGGGTTTAGGGTTTAGGGTTTAACCTCCCTAACATGAAAACCTGCTAACATTGTGAGCCCCACACAAGTCTCCGCAGTCGTTGAGGTTGGGTGTTGGCAGATAGTAAGACAGCATCATCATACTATTGCTACGAACTAAGCCGACTGTTATTGTCACAAATGTCATTAGACTAACAACGAAAAAAATCTTCAGATTTGTTTCACGATGCACAAGCAGACGCTCATCATTATCCCCTCATGAGGGTTCAGAGTTTAGCAGAGTTGTAGGCCGCAGAAGCATGACAACAAGGTTTAGGGTTTAGGGTGTAGGGTTTAGGGTTTTAGGGGTCAAACCCCAAACTAAATTCTCAAGCCTTGCGCCTCAAGCCTCGAACCGCAATTCAAAGCCTAAACCGCGAATCTCAAACCTCGAACCCCACCCTTAGATCCAGAGCCTCGAGCCTCAAACCGACCTAAACCCTCAATCCTCACCTCACATCTAAGCCCCTTAGCGACCAGAGAACCCTTAAAGCACAGAATCTAGCACCCTCAGAAACTCCCAGCCCCAAGTCCTGAACCCTAAGCCCTAAACCCTCAACCTCTAACCCCAAACCCTCAACCCTCAACCGTAAGGTCCGAGGCGCACCCATGGCCTGGCCCGCTACCCGCCGATCTCTCACAGGCGCGCTCGCGAGGTTTGTTCAGGGTTGAGGGTTTGGGGTTCTGGGTTCAGGGTTTTTCTGGAAGGTATGGGGTTTTCGGCCTGTTGGGGTCTGGTTAGCTTTTTTGGGGGTTGGTTTTGGGGTTAGGGGATTGAAGGTTTGCTTGGTGATTCAGTTGAAAGTTTTGGGCGTTAGGGTCTGGAGGTGTTTAAGTTTAGAGAAGATGGAGGATTGAGATGCTTGCGGGGGGCGGGGGGGGGGTCTGTAATGTGGTCCGTATGACGACACCCTAACCGTAAACCCTACACTTACACCCTCAAGCCCCACTGAAGAACTAGCCCTGAACGCTAAACCCCTGAAGAACTAGCCCTGAACGCTAAACCCTAAACCCTAAACCCTAAACCCTACACCCTAAACCCTAAACCCTAAACCCCAAACCCTAAACCCTAAACCCCAGGCATGCACTCCGGGGCGGTGGGGGGAGGATCTTGTCAGCCCTCAGCCCGAAGCCCTCAGCTGTGTGAGCCCCCCAATCCCTAATCCCGAAGCCCGAAACCCTAGACCCTAGAACCCAAAAAGTCTGAAGCCCTGAATCCTGAAACTTACATACCTTCCCCCCCAAAACAAAAAAAGAAACAAAGACCCTGCAAACCAAAACCCACTCTGGGGTTTATAGCGGACCAGACCTTAGAGACCCCAGAGCCGACAAGGCCCTAAGACTTTAAAACCCCTAAAAACCGATCCCGTAGCCAATTCGGCTGAAGCGGCTCAAAGCATTTTCTGTCGGTCTTTGTCTTGACGTTGGCTTCGTGCTGCAGCATGCTGAGTTAGTGCACGTGGCTGCTCGCCTGGAGCTTTTCCATGACCAGCGCCAATCATCGGCTGCCCATCCAGCCATCGGTTCCGTGCGGCATGAGAGGAGGGGAGGAGAGGAGAGGAGAGGAGAGGGGAGGAGAGGGGAGGAGAGGGGAGGAGAGGAGGAGAGGGGAGGAGAGGGGAGGGAGGGGGAGGAGAGGACGAGGGAGGAGAGGGCAGGGGAGAGGAGAGGAGAGGAGCGGAGGGGAGGGAGGGAGGGAGAGGAGAGAGATGAGAGGAGAGGAGAGGAGAGGAGAGGAGAGGAGAGGAGAGGAGCGGAGGAGGAGAGGAGAGGAGGGAGGAGAGGAGGAGGAGGAGAGGAGGAGAGGAGAGGAGGAGAGAGAGGAGGGAGGATGAGGAGGAGGGAGGAGAGGAGGAGATAGGAGGCCGAAGAGGAGAGGGGAGAGGGGGAGAGGGGGAGAGGGGGGGAGGGGGAGAGGGGGACGAGGGGAGAGAGGGTGAGAGGGGGAGCGAGAGGAGAGAGGAGAAGAGGAGAGGAGCGGAGGACGAGGGAGAGGAGGAGAGGAGAGGAGGAGAGTAGGAGAGGAAGGAGGAGAGGGGAGAGGGAAGGGGGACGAGGGTGCGAGGGGGAGGAGGTGAGGAGGGGGAGAGGAGAGAGAAGAGAGAAGAGAGAAGAGAGAAGAGAGAAGAGAGAAGAGAAGAGAGAAGAGAGAAGAGAGAAGAGAAGAGAGAAGAGAGAAGAGAGAAGAGAGAAGAGAGAAGAGAGAAGAGAGAAGAGAGAAGAGGGAAGAGGGAAGAGGGAAGAGGGAAGAGGGAAGAGAGAAGAGAGAAGAGAGAAGAGAGAAGAGAGAAGAGAGAAGAGAGAAGAGAGAAGAGAGAGGAGAGAGAAGAGAGAGGAGAGAGGAGAGAGACGAGAGAGGAGAGAGGAGAGAGGAGAGAGGAGAGAGGAGAGAGGAGAGAGGAGAGAGGAGAGAGGAGAGAGCTGCAATCAACAAATGCCAGGCACTTGACCCAAAGCTTTTTGCAGAGAAGAGAAGAAAGGCGGCCTGTCTCCATTGCATGCAATTCTGGATTAGTCTCAGAAACAACAAAGGCATTCAATTTCAAGTGATTGTCAGGCTACCGAAGCAATGCACCGTGCTTTGCTCCACGAGCAGGTGCAGAAGGCACTTTGAAAATTCACGTTGATATCTTTGTTCAATGGAGAAGCTCAGTTTCAGCTTCATGATGGCGTCAGATGAGTTTATGTTCAGTTTTTCCAGAGATCTTCATATATGTCCTGGGAAACATGTCAAGATCAAAATAGCAACAAATGACATGCATCCGAGGCAGTACGTGCCGCTAGAAACTCTTGCATTCACTTGAGTGTAGGAGAGGTCGGGTCAGCAGCATAGAATAGCTGACTCCGAGTTCGATTGCTGGTCAAGCGAGAACCTTTAGCCATCCTTGAGAGAGTGAGACAATTAGATGGAGTTCATATTCCAATCTCCAATGATGATCCATTGGCTGTCAAGTGACTCGACGGTTCTTCTGAGCGCTGTTAGAATGCTAGGGTTGGCCCCTTGTAGGAGGCTCAGCCCCGGATTCCAGGTAAACGTTACCAACAACAATTCCCACCCATGGAAACGGACGCCCACGAAGTTAAATCCTTTTTCACCGTGATACTCGCAGATGAACCGAGTGTGCTGATGGTTGGGATTAAGTCAGCAGCTCTTCTCGCCGAGGCGCTTTTACCGATGCCTCCTCGGTGTCCGCCGGGGGTTTTGGAGCGGAGGGGGTCTCGACGCGCGAGATTTCGTGACAATTTTGTTTCTGTACGTTGGTTGGAGGGGGGGGGGAAAGGAGAACAACTTGAGGGGGGAGGGGGCGGACAGGAGGGGGAAGGGTGCACGAGGCGGAAGCATGGCGCGGGATGAGGGGGGGAAGAGTGCAGGGCGGAAGTATGGCGCGGGATCTGATGCAGGCAGGCCAATGTTTCGGCCTCTTCGCCCATCCTAAACCCAGCCAAGAGCGCTCCAGGTAGGCCGATGTCTCTGCCTCTGGGCCCATCCTGAACCCCAGCCAACGGTAGGCTAGTGTTCCTGCGTCTGGGCCCATCCTGAACCCCGGCTAAGGGCGCTCCAGGAGGGTTATGTTTCGGTTTCGGCCTCGTGGCCCATCCTAAACCCTAACCAAGGGCGCTCCAGGTAGGCCAATTTTTCAGCCTCTTCGCCCATCCTAAACCCAGGCAAGGGCGCTGCAGGCAGGCTAATGTTTCGGCCTCTTGGCCCATCCTAAACCCCAGCCAAGGGCGCTCCAGGCAGGCCAATTTTGATGACTTGCAAGAGTAGGCTGGACAGACTGGGCAGGTCGTCTTCCTCGGAGCATGAAAATCAGAAGTTTGCAGTGCTTGATTTCACGTGCCTGTCTCTTTGTCTCATAGCATCTCCCCCCCTTCCCTCAACCACATGAAGCCAGCACTGGGAAAGTGCAAGCAGCACTGAGGAAGTGCGTTTCAATATCTTAGGACTTTCAATATCTTAGGGCACTTTGTATACGTGCTCTTCTTGCATTTGCTCTTTTTTCGTGCAGGTTTCTTCTCTGCAGGTTTTTGGGCTGTAGTGTAAACGCGCCGCCGGGTTTCTGACGGGAAGCTATGGCGGGCGACGAGGCACATGGATCCAGGGCTTGGGTTTCACGGTAAAAACACGCCCTTCGCTGCCTTGGCTTGCATTGAGGGTCAGGTCAAACAGTTCTATATATAGTATAGGTTTAGGCTTTTGAGGGTTTTCAGGCTACAGGGTTCAGGTTTTAGGGTTTACAGGTTGTCTCGTTTAGGGTTATAGGGTTGTAGGGTTTAGGCTTTAGGGAGCATATATATATATATATATCTATATGTGGATCTATCTATATATATATATATATATATATAGATCTATACTGATATCGTTATATTTTGTAAATCTGTATATGAAAAATATCCATATATATATATATATACATGAGATAAGCCTTTCACTGCTGGCCAGCCGACGCAGTGGCTGCGGCCATGTTCAACGCCAGGCGAGCTTGCCTGCAAGCCTGCTGGCAGTGGCTGCGGCCCTGCGGCATACACAGTGGCTGCGGCCCTGTAACAGTGTGTGATGCAGTGGCTGCGGCCCTGCGGCGTATACACAGCGGCTGCGGCCCTGTAACAGTGCGCGACGCAGTGGCGGCCCTGGCGGCATATACACAGCGGCGGCGGCCCTGTAACAGTGTGTGATGCAGTGGGTTTGTCAAATTTCACCAGCCCTTGCTAGGCTGCATCGTTTCAAGAGCCTAGGTGGTCATACTCCAAACTTTGCTGTTCTTGGTAGCACTGTAGAGTTTCCATATCCCACCTTTTCTTTCACGTGCAACTGTCGCGCTGCTTTAAACCTCTCATGGGTTTGCGACAGAGAGGAGAGAGAAAGAGGAGAGGGAGAGGGAGAGGGAGAGAGAGAGAGAGAGAGAGAGCGAGAGACAGAGACAGAGACAGAGACAGAGACAGAGACAGAGACAGAGACAGCGACAGAGACAGAGACAGAGACAGAGACAGAGAAAGAGAAAGAGAAAGACAAAGAGAAAGAATAAGAGAATGACAAAGATAAAGGGAAAGAGAAAGGGACAGGGAAAGAGAAAGAGACAGAGACAGAGACAGAGAGAGGGACCAGCACGATCCGCCTCGAATTCCTCACCTCGCCGGAGTTCTCCCTCACACGGCGCGTCTGGAGGCGCCGCTGGAGCCGCGTGCTGGTGGTGGTGCGGCTCGTGCTGGCGGCGGCCGACATCTTCGGTCCACAAAAGCGACGCGACACGATGGGGCGTTCTCCGTCAAGCACAGTGTCTCGCTATCAGGATGTTCAATGGTGTTTTTATTGCCAATATTCCGCCAGTACCCCGCCGCGGAACGCAGCCAGGGAGATCAAAGACGAGAAGGGGACCGCCTCCAAAACCAGAGTGCACCAGATGGAGCAGGATGAGGGGGAAGAACCCGAGAAGAAGAAGATGAACTACAAAGACAGCGCGAGCTAGACGAAGAGGAGGAACAGCGACTGGCGGAGGTTTAGCTCGACGAGTACATGCAAGAACAAGCGACAGAGGACGAGCTGCAGACAGAAGAGACACAGACCATGATGAGCATGGTCCTAGATGGGGCAGCCCAAACCGCCGGGGACCCCAGCCCATCACCAAGACAGACATGCCATCCGTCGGGTGTGATCAGGAAACCCCCTAAACACCCTAAAGCCGAAACTTTAACGCCTTTACTTGAAGCCCCTAAACATCCTAAACCCCGAAGACAGCAGGTGGATCCGGTGGCAAGCTTCGCCCTGGGCACCTTCTTCGGCTCCCTCATGGGCTTCGCGCCTTCGCATGTCTCATCGGATGCCCTCGTGTAGGGCTTAGGTTTCAGGGTTTAGGGTTTAGGGCTAGGGTATAGAGCTTAGGGCTTAGGCCTTAGGGCTTAGGGCCAGGGCTTAGGTTTCCCCGAGATGTTTCACCACGCCTGGAGATTTCTGATTCGGGGTTCGGTTTGGGGCTCTTTCGCTCTTTGCATTCAGTACCCTATATTCTTTGGAAGTCCTTGAGTAAAAAAGCTCAACCTCAAATCCTCTGCCCAGCAATCCCGAGCACAGTTGTCCAGGTGTCCCTCTTCGTGGTTCTCCGCAGCTTTGTGCGGAATCTGCAGGAAACGCGGGTGTGGGTTTGGCATATTTTGACGCCTCGGGGTTTAGGGTTGGAAGGGCCGCCCGATATTCTGTGTGTGTGTGTGTGAGTGTGTTCAACTCTCCGAGCCCTAAATCTACCGGTTTAGGGTTTAGGGTTTGGGTTTTGATGGGTTTTAAGTACTAACCCCTGAGCCCGAAGCCCTAAACTCCTGCTCCCACTTTTCATCAACACCCTAAACCTTAAATGAGCAGCGTTTTTTTTCTAGGAGCAAGGCTACGTAGAGACGCGATCATTGAAAGTCGGCCGCGTAGCATTTTGCCTGCAGGGCGTAGGTTTGCGTAGGGTCCGCGTAGGCAAGTCTATGCAGTATGGGCGCGTAGGTCCGCGTAGGTTGTCTGTGCTTGCCGCGTAGGTCCGCGTAGGCACACGTCAACAACATACTCCGCGCGTAGGTCGCGCGCCTACTAAACATGAGCTGACGCGTAGGCCCGCGTAGGATACCCATGCCATTACAACACCCCACACAATGAAAAAAAAAACTGCTCAAATGTTGAATGATGAACCGACGAGGAGGACGATTTGGATGGTGCGAACTGGAGCAGCTTCGGCGGGCTTGTGTTGCCCTCCTTCTTCTTTCAGGCTGGAACACCCAGGCCCAAATCCTGTAACCATAGCCCGAAAGCCCCAAACTTAAAAAAAACAACTCCAAAACGCTAAGCTCCCAAAAATTCTGGATGAGTGGTTCTTTCCATCCAACCCTTCATTCACGTAAGTTCCATCGTCCAAGGATCACTCTTCCATCAATTTGCTTGCACATCCTTTCAAACAGTCATTCTTTTGTCAAATGTTGTTGTTTCTCTCTTCGTTTCGGCCATAAACCCCCTGAAATAAAAACTCAAACCTGCAAGAGAGGAGGAGTAGTAGGAGTCGGAGTAGGACTAGGACTAGGATTCGGACTAGGAGGAGTATGCTCTAGTAGTAGCAGCAGTGGGAGGAGTAGTCGTAGTAGTCGTCATCGTAGCAATAGGAGCAGGAGTAGCAGCGGCACTAGCGCCAGCAGCAACAGCAACAGCAATAGCAACAATAAGAATCGTGGCAATAGTAGTGACACTCGCAACAGTTCCAATATTTTTATAATCGCATCATCAGTAGTCGCAATAACAATTCTCGCAATGGCAATAATGGCAGCAATGGCAAGAATGGCGACAATCGTCACACTGGTCAGAATGGTTATCAAGGTCATCATAGCAGCATTTGTTACTAGTGGCATTAGAAGCAAGAAGTGTCGCATTAGCGATCGCAGGAATCGTGCTTCCTAGAAGTAAGAAGACTTATGACAGCAAGACGAGCAATGATAGCATTCGCGGTCTTAAGGATAAGAAACGAATAATCATCAGACGCCCACCCTCAAGGGGGCTGCCGACATCTACAGCAACGTGCGCGAGGTGGCGGCGCAAGCGCAGCGGCGGTTCAGGAGCCAAAAGCGTGAGGTCCTAATCTGCCTTTAGCGCTTGAGGTTCTGGGTGTAAGGGTCGGATGACCCCTACCTGAAGCCCCTACACCACCACACCTCGCAGGAGCACTGGCGACTTCGAGGACATCTACAAGAACATTGAGGATGTGCAGAAGGAGCGATGGAGGGTTTGGAGGCCGCAAGGGGCCTTGGCTCAGAGCCCCGACGCGCCCAAAGCATGAATCCCTTTCGGGGTTTAGGGTTCACCACAACGTGCTACACAAGCTGCGCAAGGTCCACAGAAGCCCGCGTAGCTTGCAAGACCCGAAGCCTCAACGAAAAGAAACCCAAAGCCTTCTCCCCCCAGCTCTGGGTGGCAGTTTTTCCACAACGCCTTGCGTTTCTCCTAGGCAGGATAAGGGGGGCCCTTAAAAGGGAACCCCTTCTTAACCCTCTTCTGGCTCTCTTAAAGAGGGACCTTATTCAGAGGGTCTATATCCCCAAGGGTCCCCCTAATCCTATCCCCTAGTTTCGGGCTCAGGGCTCAGGGTTATTTGCGCAGGCCGGCGCAGGTCGGGTACATCTTGGCTGAATGTGTTGCTAGTTTAACATGCGCCACAGTTGTGCACGGCTCACGCACCTGATCTTCAGGGCTTAGGGTTGAGTTTAAGTTTTCGTGTTTAGGGTTCCAGGGTTTAGGGTTGTTTGGGGCTCTGCGTCCTAAACCCAATGATCTGCAAACTCCCTCCTTTTGCTGGCAGGAGCAGGTGCTTAACGGCCTCCGCGCCCTGCGCGATCGTTTCCCAAGGACCTTTCCGCAAAACAAACCGAAAGCCCTAAACCCAAAACCCTTAACCCTAAACCCTACACCCTAAACCCTACACCCTAAACCCCAAAACGCTAAACCCTAAACCTAGGACCCAGAGTGGGCCCTTATTCCCTTTGTTTCGGGTCAAGGCTTGGGGTTTAGGGGTTTGGGTGGTTGCGGTGGCTGGGGGAGGGGGGGCTGGAGGATGCAGGGCGAGGCTTTATGGGAGTTAGCAGCGTTTACCCCAAGCCCGAAGAGACCAAGTTGCGCAAACCCCCTGAACCCTAATCTCTAAAGGGGTAGCAAGGGTAAACTAGCAACGTCCACGTCGAAGCCCTGCGTTAGGCCCAAGGCCCAAGAGCAGGCTAAAGCTAACACGGGTAACACCAAGGGAACCCTGAGCCCTAAGCCCTAAGCCCTAAACCCTAAACCCGAAACCCAACGAAGTCCTAAACTACTCATCCGCCAACGGAGCAGGAGCAAGTCTCGGCGCATTCAGGACTCCCGAGCCTCAACCCTAAACACCCTAAACCCGAAAACCCGCGCAACCCTAAACTCCTTAACTCCCCAAACCGAAAAACCCTACACCCCCAAACCCCTTGACCACCTAACCCCCTAAATCCTATAACCCCTACAACCCCCAAACCCTAAACCGTAAACCCTAAACCCTGAACCCTAAACCCTAAACCCTGAACCCTAAACCCTAAACCCTAAACCCTGAACCCTGAACCCTGAACCCTGAACCCCAAACCTTCGCCTTTAATCCCTAAACCCCGAGCCCTGGGCTGCCCAAACGCCCCCTGAAAATCCTAAGCTCCTGCTATGTTCAAATAGTGAAAAGCCCGAAGTTTGGGGGTTTTTCGGGTTTGGTTTTGGGGTTTAGGGTGTCGGGTTTAGGGTTTCGGGTTTAGGGTATAGGGTTTAGGGTTTAGGGCCAGTTTAGGGGACAGGTTGGTGCGGTTTCGGTTGAACTCTGGTTGAGGGTGTGCAGGCGTTTAGGATGTGGAAACCAATAGGAAGAGGGCCCTGAGCAAAAGTCAGAGCGTGAAATTCATTGGTGCGAACCCAAAACCCTAAGCCCTCAGCCCTAAGCCCTAAACCCGAAGCCCTAGCTTGGGGGTGGCCGTCACCCTCAGCCCTGAAGCCCTTTAAGAATGGCTTTTTCTTGAGCCCTCGCCCTAAATCCTGCAGCAGAGCCCCGCCCACACCCTCACCCCGAAGCCTAAACCCCAAAGCCCTAAACCCTAAACCCCAAACTCTAACCCTAAACCCTAAAGCCCCGAAGCCCTAAAGCCCTAAAGCCCTAAAGCCCTAAAACCCTAAACCCTACACCCTACAACCTAGAACCCCAAACCCTAACCTACAACCCCTAAAACCCCAAACCCCAACCCTAAGCCCCAAACCCTAAATCCCAAACCCTAAACCCCAGACCCTAAACCCCAAGCCCTACAGTAAACCCAAAACCCACAACCCCTAAGACCTAAAACCTTAAACCCTAAACCCTACAACCCCTAAACACCAAACCTTACAACCCTCAAGACCTAAGCCCTAAACCTTACACCCTACACCCTAAACCCCAAACCCTCAACCCTACAGCCTCTAAAACTCCCGCAAAAGACCCAAGAAGGACCTCGTGGAACGCGAGCGCATGGCCTCATCAGTCTACGACCTGGCGCTGCGGCTGCAGCCCATGGTCCCTGCGCCATGGCTGGGGTTTAGTGTTCAGGGTTTAGGGTTTAGGGGTTCAGGGTTGAGGGTTGAGGGTTGAGGGTTTAAGGGTTTAGGGTGTTTAGTTCAGAGGTCTGTGGGCTTGGGGTTTCTTGGTTTGGGGACTGAAGTCAAGTTTGGGGTTAGAAATTTGTCCATTGGGGGTATCCGGAACCCAAGAGTTTAGCACCTGGGGCGGATGAACAACCTGCTTGGCAGGAACCCTCGAGGCTCAGCTGATAACAGCGCCACCGCTGGTAGGGCTCGTTCCAGTGCTCCTAGTACTCCCACATTGGTAAGAAGCAGTTTTGCAGGCGGCTGACAACCCTACCAAACACAAACCCTTCTCTCTCTTCACTTTGTAGAGCTTTGTGAGACCCTGCCACACGGCAGTGTTCACCTTAGCCTTTAACGATAGCATTCTGGTTCAGGGCAGGCGACGTGGCATGCAGATGCCGTTTTTGCGTTGAAGTTCTCAGTCCCAGGTTTAAAGGTCACAACGCCCGAAGGCCGCATGAAAGGTACCATTTTATTGCCCGCAGGGTCAGGGAATCGGTCTCTAGGAGGGTGCCAAACGCGAAGCATCCACGCCCAAAAAAGGGGACCGGAATAAATACCAGTTATGGTCCCCCTTTAAAGCTATATTCTAACATCCCCTAAAAGCCTATTCTAATCAGCAAGGCCCTTATATTTCGGCATCCCGAAAATACCCCAAGGCCTGCAACTTGAACCTGACTTCCTTCAACCCTAAGCCCGAAGCTGAGAACGTGCCTTAGACGTTCTGAGAAGAGTGGCTTGAGGAGTGCCCCCCGCCCTTGCAGTCCAAACCAGGCCCTTGTTGTTTAGGTTTTTGGTTTTGAGCATCACGGGTTGAGGGTTTACAGGCTTATCGGTTTGGAGTTCCTTACACAGGGAGGGGGGGGAGGCTTGGCATTAAGATCTTGGTCTGTTCCATAACGGAGGAGGAGACATGGGCTCTGCGGGAATTGCCCAGGACAAGTCCAACGTCTACAACGAGCTACCTGTCCCAGACATGGTTGACGTCAAACCTTGCACTGAGTTGCTGCTAAGCAGTTGAAGGAGTTGGTTACCAAGATACAGGATGCCGTTGTGTTCCCACATCAATATTGCGGCTGTGGCAAACCAGGGCACCCAACCCGACACCTTAAACCCCAAACCACCCTAAGCACTGAGCCCTACAAGGACCGTAGCCGCCACAGCTCGTCAATTGCTTCTCTAAGCCCTAGAAAGCTCTCCTACACCAAAAGCTAAGCTAAACCTTCAACCCTAAACCCTAAACCCTAAACCCTAAGCCCTAAGCCCTAAACCCTAAACCCTGAACCCTAAACCCTAAACCCTAAACCCCCCCCCCCCCCCTTCCGAGGCTCTGGTCCTTGGATGAGAATCGCTGCAGCGTCAGCGGCCGACTGCCCGGCGAGGGCAAGCGGCCCTTCGCAGATGCGAGCGCGCAGCGCCTGGGGCGGAAGACGTCGAAGCCCGTGAGCCCCCAAACCCTGAAGTCGGGTTTAGGGTTTAGGGTTTAGGGTTTAGGGTCTAGGGTTTAGGGTTTAGGGTTTAGGGTTTAGGGCTTAGGGTTTAGGTTTTATAGGGTTTAGGGTTTAGGGTTTAGGTTTTATAGGGTTTAGGGTTTAGGGTTTAGGTTTTATAGGGTTTAGGGTTTTAGGGGACCAAGCTTCCCAAAAGCTTTGAAGACTTGGGCTTGAGGACGCAGACCCTGTAAACCCTAAAGCTCAAAACCCTAAACCCTAAACCCTAAACCCTAAACCCTAAACCCTAAACCCTAAACCCTAAACCCTAAACCCTAAACCCTAAACCCTAAACCCTAAACCCTAAACCCTAAACCCTAAACCTCAAAACGCCAGCCCTTGCCGAGGATTCTCGTTGACACGCAGGCGCCCGCATCACGCCTGACGGACATGTGCAGCTGGGCCTCGGCAAGAAGCCCTAAACCCTTACTACTGCTCGCAGGGATTTAGGGTTTAGGGGGTTTAGGGTTTAGGGTTTAGGGTTTAGGGCTTGGGGGGTTTACTTGTTAGGGTTTAGGGTCTATTTTGGGTGTAGGGTTAAGGGTTGAGGGCTTAGGGCTTAGGATTCGAAACATCAGCTGCTTCACCTCTCATGGGGCGGACTGACGCCAAGTCCCCAAACCCCAACCCCCGAAAAGCCCTAAGCCCCAAACCCCAAACCCGAAACCCCAAAACCCTAAAGCCCTAAACCCCAAACCCTAAACCCTAAACCCCAAACCCCTAAACCCTAAACCCTAGGCCCTAAACCCTAAACCCTAAACCCTAAACCCCAAACCCCCCAAACCCCAGGCATGGCCCCGCGGCCTCTTTTCGCGAGCGTAGCCCCCGAGGTGCCAGGTCGTGCTGGGGATTTAGGGGGTTTAGGGGGTTTAGGGGGTTTAGGGGGTTTAGGGGGTTTAGGGTTTAGGGTTTAGGGTTTAGGGTTTAGGGTTGAGGTTTAGGGTTTAGGGTTCAGGGTTTGGGGGTTGTAGGGGTTATAGGATTTAGGGGGTTAGGTGGTTAAGGGGTTTAGGGGTGTAGGGTTTTTGTGTTTGGGGAGTCGAGGAGTTTAGGGTTTCGCGCATAGGGGAAATGGGGGAGATAAGGGTTTAGGGTATAAGAGGTTTTTGGGGTTGGGGGTATTGGGCTCAGGGGTTTCGGGGAGAGGAGTTTAGGTTTCGTGGGTTTAAGGTTTAGGGATTCGAAGACGGGGCTGCAGGGGTTTAAGGGCAACGCCGGAAGCAAGATTCAACGAAGAGATCGAGACCCTAAACCCTGAACCCCAAACCCCTTACCCTAAACCCGAAACCAAAAACCGTAAACCCTAGAGCTAGACGTCGCTGCCCACGCACTCCTGCTCGGACACAAGGTGTCCCATACTTCCGCATGGCGCACCAGCTCCTGAAGGGTCAAAGCTAGGTGAGGCCGCCTCCCTTGGCATGGAATGCTGAAGCCACAGGGGACATGCAGAGGCTTGCCCTAAACCCAAACACACATTCCAGAATGAAGAGAAGGGAAGAAACTATTCATGTAGAGGTAATAGACAAGACCCTAAACCCTTATCGCACTGAAACCCGAAGCCCGCGCGATGGAAGCGATGGACGCCTTCAGCTGCAGCGACGACAGCGGCGGAGAGGATCTTGCAGTGGGGCAGCTGGTCAGCATGCGCCCTGGCAGCACTGTGACTCAGCAGGCTCACCAAGCAGGGCTTGGCAGCCCAGTGGTGCCCTTTACCCTTTCTTTTGCGGTTCTGGGTTCCCTTATAAAACAGCCAACCCTAAACCCTAAACCCTAAACCCTAAATTCCTTGAAACCCTGGGACCCTATGACCCCGATTGCCCTAAAGCCCTATACTCCGAAAGCCACCCGGCAAGTCCAAAACGAAAGAAGAGCGACCTGGTTCCTCTCCGATGAGCGCAAGCCCAGCCTCTCTTTCGGCTCCCAAACCCTAAGCCCTAAGCCCTAAACCCTAAACCCTAAATCCTAAACCCTAAACCCTAAACCCTAAACCCTCACCCCTCAACCCTAAACCCTCAACCCTCAACCCTAAACCCTAAACCCTAAATGCTCAAAAAGGCTGGAGATCGATGTGCCATTGGCACGGCAGGCGCTGCAGCGCGCCAGGGGCAACTTGCAAGAAGCCATCAACGTGGCCTACGACTTGCAAGCGACCCTGTCCGCATGGGGTTTTGGGTTTAGGGTTTAGGGTTTAGGGTTTAGAGTTTAGGGTTTAGGTTTAGGGGTTAGGGTCCAAAGCCCGCAAATCCGAAACCCCTAGGTTTTGGAGTTCTACGTTCCTAAGATAGCTACTTATACCTAAAAAATATTTGGTGAGTTCTCTAAAATATGGTCCCCTTTGGGATCTTGTTATAACGCGCCCCCTCTTGTTTGGGGTACCGAAAATGGGACCAGAATTTAGAGAACTCACCATATGCTTTTATTCAGGGTCTAGTCCAAACTAGGGGACCCGCAGGTTCCACTTGTAGCAGCACCTAAACCCTGAACCCTAAACCCTAAACCCTAAACCCTAAACCCTAAACCCTAAACCCTAAACCCTAAACCCTAAACCGTCTAGCAGCTCCCCCTGTGCATCAAACCCTAGAAGACCCCCAGGCGCAGAAGGATGCGCGGAAGAGACCGGCGCCGAAACGGAAGCTGGGCAGCTCGCAGCCCGCGCCAGGACCTGCTTCGAATTGGGGTTCTAAGGGTTTGAGGGTTTAGGGTTTAGGGTTTGGGGTTTAGGAACGAGGGTTTAGGTGTTGGGACGCTGGAGGTTTCTAGCGCCAAAGGCCCCGAAGCCTTAAGCCCTACTAAGCCCTAAACCGTCAACCCTCAACCCTCAACCATGAACCCTAAAACCTAAACCCTGCGCTAAACCCTACACCCTAAACCCTCAGCCCCAAAGCCTGCAAAACCGAAACCCCTAAGCCCTGAGGCCCAGAAGACCCTCAACCCTTCGCACTTGGAGGTTCATGGTACTTATTAACGAATTATGACTGTTTTTAGAACTGTACTTATATCCACACTCGGGCACTTAAGGGGCTTATAAGTGGGTGAGAGGTACAGTTATGCTTGGTAAGCCCTAAACCCTAAACCTAAACCCTAAGCCCTAAACCCTACTTATACTTGGTTAACAAGCACCATGAGCCTCCAAGTAGGGGGGCCAGGCCGGCGCCGGCGTCTGGGACTTGCCCCCTTGTCCTCCTCGTCCTCGGGGGCCCGGCTTGCCAGAGAACAGGCGGTTAGTAGGGTGTAGGGTTTAGGGTTTAGGGTTTTGGGTTTTGGGTTTTGGGTTTAGGGTTTAGGGTTTAGGGTTTAGGGTTTAGGGTTTAGGGTTTAGGGTTTAGGGGTTCTAGGGTTTAGGGGTTCTAGGGTTTTCAGGTTTTTTTTGTTTTTTTCTCAAATGGTTTTGGGGCTTTAGGGGTTTGGGGTGTTTAAGGTTTTAGGGTTTTAGGGTTTTAGGGTTCTAGGGTTCTAGGGTTTTCAGGGTTTTTGGGGTTGGAGGGTTTTAGGGTTTCAGGGTTTTTCGGGTTTTTAGGATTTTAGGGTTTTGGGGTTTTTAGGGTTTTCAGGTTTTTTTCGGGTTTTTAGGTTTGAGGGTTTTAGGGCTTTAGGGTTTTTAGGGTTTTGGGATTTAGGGTTTGAGGGCTTGAGGGTTTGAGGGTTTCAGGGTTTGAGGGTTTGAGGTTTTTTAGGGTTTCAGTGGTTTTTGGGTTTTTGGTTTTTAGGGTTTTAGGGTTTTAGGGGTTTTTAGTGTTTTTTTGGGCTTTTGGGGGGTTTTAGGGGTTTTAGGGTTTGAGGGTTTTAGGGTTTGAGGGTTGTAGGGTTTGAGGGTTTTAGGGTTTTAGAGTTTTAGGGTTTTAGGGTTTCAGGGTGTTACAGGTTTAGTGTTTTAGGGTTTGAGGGTTCGAGGGTTTTAGGGTTTTTAGGGGTTGTAGGGTTTTAGGGGTTCAGGGTTTAGGGCAGATCTCGGTGAGCGGCCGGGGCGGGGGGGGGGGGGGGGGGGGGGGTTGGGGTTCGGGTTTAGGGGGGTTTTGGGGGGTTGAGGAAGGGTCAGGGTTGAGGAGGGTGCAGGGTTGGAGCTCCACAAGGCTTGAGGAGTTCGGGGATTGGGTGTTGAGGACCCTGCACCCTTCACCCTCAACCGAAATCCACAGGCCGAAGCCGAAACGTTCCCAAGCCAAATGTTCAAATGCTTCATTTTCTGGACTTGACAACATATCATTCTGAACGTGCAAAGCTTTTTGTCTCAACAAGTCGGCGCAACACAAACAGCACCGGGCCCCAACCTGGGAGAGAAAAAGACATCAGAAGGCCAGCGAGGCCCAAAAGAAGCCCCAAAAGGCCCGAAAGCAAAACAAACAGCTTTCGCCCAAGAACTGCCCAAAAATCCGGAGCTGAACCCTACACAGTTTCTATAAACCCGAAACCCTAAACCCCAAACCTTAAACCCTAAACCCTAAACCCTAAGCCCTACTGAACCAACAATCTTTTCGCAGGCAGATGTTTTCGTGCCCGCCGAGAGGAACAAGCACAAGAGGCAGCGTGGGGAGGCGCGTTTAGGGTTTAGGGTCTAGGGTTTAGGGTTTAGGGTTAGGGTTTAGGGTTTAGGGCTAGGGTTTAGGGTTTAGGGTTTAGGGTTTAGGGTTTAGGGTTTAGGGTTTAGGGTTTAGGGTTTAGGACCACAAGCCCTGACACCCATTCTCCCAAGAAAGCCCTTGAGTTCGAAATTTGAGTCACTCTGACTACTTGGCCTAACCCTAAGCTCTACACCCTAAGCGCTAAGTGCGAAAACCCAAACCCTAAACCACAAACCCTAAACCCCAAACCCTAATTAAACCCAAACCCTAAGCTTCAAACCCAAACCCTAAACCCCACCTGAATCCCAAACCCTAAAGCCCAAGCCGTAAACCCCAACCCCTTATCCCCACACCCTAAACCCCAAACCCCAAGCCCTAAGCCCCAAACCCCAAACCCAAAACCCCAAACCCTAAACCCTAAACCCCCAAACCCCAAAACCCCAAACTCGAAGCAAGCTTCCCCCTGGGCCTCGGCCCTTCTGAGGTCGCGCCGGTCCCTTTCAAGATCCCGAACAACGACGGAGATGCGCTGGCCGCAAATCCGCCGATGTTCCGACAGCGCCCCTGACGGCTAAGGGGTTTAGGGTTTAGGGTTAGGGTTCAGGGTTCAGGGTTCAGGGTTCAGGGTTCAGGGTTCAGGGTTCAGGGTTCAGGGTTTAGGGTTTAGGGTTTAGGGTTTAGGGTCTAGGGTTTAGGGTCTAGGGTTTAGGGTTTAGGGTTTAGGGTTCAGTTTTAGGGTTCATGGGGGGGGGGGGGGTCGCGGGTGTGGGGGGGGGGGGGAGGGGGGACCCTCTTTCTGGGTGCGCTGCCACCCACCCTCCCCCAG